TGTAGAATGACGAGTCCGGGCAATTGATTTTGATACTTTGTGGCCAGGAAGCTCGCCACCCTCACCCGGCTTAGCACCTTGGGCCATCTTGATCTGTATCTCGTCTGAGTCCGCAAGGTAATTTGATGTCACACCGAAGCGTCCGGAGGCAACTTGCTTGATCGCGGACCTCATCGTATCGCCGTTCGGCATTTGCTTGGAACGCTCCGGGTCTTCTCCGCCTTCACCAGTATTCGATTTGCCACCTAGGCGATTCATCGCAACAGCAAGGGTGGAATGGGACTCCATGGATATGGAGCCATAGGACATGGCGCCTGTGCAAAATCGTCGAACAATTTCGGTCCAAGGCTCAACTTGGTCAATCGGAACTGGAGTACACTCATCGAATTTGAAGTCCAAGAGACCGCGGAGTGTGCACGACTTGATCGACTCATACTCGGAAAGTGAATATGCTTCGTAAGACTTATCATTTTTTGTTCGTACTGCATCCTGTATATTGGCAATCGACGTAGGATCATTGATATGCGGTTCTCCTCCATCGCGCCAATGGTATTCACCAGACTCTGGTAACCCAGGAATACTAGTTGTCGAGCGCGAAGGAAATCCTTGTTCGTGGAATCTAAAGGCATCTTCGGCAATCAGCTCGAAGGTTATACCGCGGATCCGAGTTGCGGTTCCCTTGAAGCATCTCTCTACGACGCTGTCATCTACACCGAGAGCCTCAAAAATTTGAGCTCCTTTGTAGCTAGCCAATGTGGAAATGCCCATTTTGCTCATGACTTTCAAAATCCCGCCATCTGCGGAGTACTTGTAGTTCCGGATAAGCGTGTCGTCACTCAACTTCTTTCTTATAAGTCCTTCGCGGTTAAGCTTCAGGATGCACTCCATAGCAAGATACGGGTTGATGGCGTCGGCGCCGTATCCGAGGAGAACACACATATGATGGACCTCGCGGGCCTCGGCAGTTTCGATAACAATTGCTGCAAGCGATCTCCATTTATTGTTGACTAGATGATGGTGGACCATTCCACAGGCGAGAAGAGTGGAAACGGGAACACGGTCAGCAGAAGTAGCCCTGTCGGACAAGATAATAATGCGGTCATTATTCTCAATCGCTGCCGTTGCTTCGCTGCAGATGTAATCCAGGTGTCTGATATACCCCTGAACCCCTTCCTCTTTCTTGAAGGTGAGATCGATGACTTTGACTGTCCATTGCGGATGTAGCTTAGCGATATCCTTCAAAGCATTCAAATCAGGGATCGATAGAACGGGCGTGGGGAGAAGTAAACGACTGCATTGCGAGGCATCCATTTCAAGGAGGTTACCCTGCGGCCCAACGTAGCACTCCAAGGACATAACAATGGCTTCCCGAATGGGATCGATTGGCGGATTTGTCACTTGGGCAAATAGTTGTCTAAAATATTCGTAAAGTAGACGCGGAGCTTGCGCCAGACATGCTAGAGGAGCGTCGTTTCCCATTGACCCTAGTGCCTCCTTCTCATCAGTGGCCATAGGGCCAAGGAGTAGACTGACTTGCTCGAAAGTGTAGCCAAATGCCTTAAGCATTGGATCTTCTTGGATAGCATAGCTGGTTGGTTTTGGAGCAAGATCAAGAACCCCAGCCGTTGCAAAGGTATCGTGAATTTTAGGCAGGCTTATTAGCTGGTCCTGAAGCCATGCTTTGAAGTCATGGCGATTCGATACAGTAGCCTTCAACTCAGCATCATCAATGATACGGCCAGCCAGCGTGTCGACTAAGAGCATCTTTCCAGGCTGCAATCGACCTTTTTGAACCACACGTTCCGGGTCCACGCTGATGGTGCCAACTTCCGAAGCGCAAATAATTCTATCGTCATCCAAAACGTAGTACCGGCAGGGTCTCAGTCCGTTTCTATCGAGGTTGGCGCCGCAATATCTTCCGTCGGCAAATGTAAACAATGCTGGGCCATCCCATGGCTCCATCTGGCAGGCAGCCCACTCATAAAAAGCAGCTTTTGCAGGATCCATGGCAGGATTATCTTGCCATGCCTCCGGAATCATCATCATGACGGCTTCTGGGAGAGATAAGACTCCATTTATTGTCAACAACTCGAGGACGTTATCGAAGGCGGCCGAGTCGGATCCACCATGTTCGACAATTGGATATAGTAGTTCCAGCTCATCGCCAAAAACATGTGATTGCATCACACCCTCTCGAGCGCGCATCCAGTTTTTATTTCCACGAAGAGTATTGATTTCGCCTGGATGAGTAGTTAGTTACCAAAGTTAAGCATCGTGGTGTAGAGAGTACTAACCATTATGGGCTGCCCATCTCAGTGGCTGAGCCCGATCCCAAGATGGAAAGGTATTCGTCGAAAATCTCGAGTGCACAAGAGCAAAGTGACCTTCGTAGTCTGCATTTACCAAATCATAGTAATACTGGTATACCTGGATAGGAGCAAGTTGCCCCTTATAGACGATGTTCTTATTGGATAGCGAGCATAAATAAAACCAGTTGTGTGGTCCAATGGTGTGGGTAGCACGCTTACGGAGAACATATAGTTGTCGTTCGAAGTGCTTTTCGTCAAATTGGTCAGGGTCTGTAGTCTCTGGCGCATTTCCAGGGCCATACGCAGATGTAAGTACAACAAACGGTTGCAGTATGACGGGTTCACGCGAAGCAGCCGCAGGGCCGAGAATAGTAGAATCCCTGGGCGGCTCGCGCCAACCCAAAACACGCAAGCCAAGAGACTCAGCGATATTTACTAACTGCTTCTTGGAATCTTGCAAAACCTCTTCATCTGGCTTGAAGAACAAGTTGCCAACAGCATATTGCCCCAGAGGAGGAAGCTTAATATCGGTCTCGCGCTCGAAATTCTTAATGAAGAATTTGTGAGGAATCGATGTCATGACACCAGCGCCGTCTCCATCTCGTGCATCAGAACCAACCGCCCCACGATGGGTCATGTTACAAAGCAAGTTCCGAGCTGTACAGAAAAAAAATCAGTTATCAAAACATCAACCAGTGGAGTAGACATACCATCGCTGACAATCTTGTGGCTGGCTTTGCCCTTGATATGGCTATTATTTTGTAAGCTGTTGCGTCCAAACTGAGAGGATTATACTCACCAGGTAAATCCCACTCCACAAGCATCCTTTTCTAATGATGGATCATACAAGCCTCTAAATGTCAAATATTAGCAAAGTATAAGATTAATCCCACAGAAAGACTTACTGCTTCACTGGAAGAGCTCCAGCCCACGACTCGTTGTCCTTGGTTTGGTATTCATACTGATTGTAGGGCTCATTTTCGGCCTCAGTTTGAATATGTCTATCATCGAAATCATCGACTCTGCCCATGTTAGGCAAGAGGGCCAACAAACGGGAGACCGCGGGATGTTGCGTGGAACAGTTGGGTAATGTCGTCTTGTTCCCAGCTACGTGAATATAGCTGTGTTCCCTGCTGACATTTGAGGGTCATTAGTTATTTGGATCCTGCAAATATGTGATTGAATTTGGGAAAAAAAAAAAGGTGAGATTATGGGCTGATAAGATGGAGGGGTTGCTTTGTCTCGGATGATAGCTTGGAGCGGCGGTTGCTGATAATCCGGTGCAGCTGAGTCCCAATGCAATCAATCAGTCGGACCCCCGTTACCGGAAGCCGAGGCGCAAGAGGTAGCAAACAGGGGCTGCATAAACCCTTGAGTAGATATGAAGATGAATTGATGCCTGGTCGATTACGACCGATATTGCATCTCTGGTGCGTGAGCACCTTGGGGGTGCTTCTCCCACGAGCGATTGGCGATAAAGAGGAGGTTGGTGATTCGTCGGGACCACCAAGCTTCCCCATGCCATGACAACACGAAAGATGAACGCCGAACGGTTCGGATAAGACTAGGGAAGGGATTCTGATGTACTTACCTGGGATATTGACAAACCACACTGCCTGCGCATCAATGAATAATATACAATTCTACTCACAGTTGTCGAAGGTGAGCAGGTGAGAGGTGAGAGGTGAGAGGTGAGGGGTGAGGGGTGAGGGGTGAGGGAAGAGGGAAGAGGTGATTTTGTTCGAAAAAGGTGATTTTGTTCAAAGAGAGGGGATAAGGGAATGGGAAGAGAGATGAGGGGAAGAGGAGGGGAAGAGGAGGGGAAGAGGAGGGGGGGAAGCAATAGGCAAGGCAGAGAGAAGGAAGTGAGGGTAGACGGGAGAAATAGGAGCACCCCGGAAACAGAAGGGAGAGAAGGGAAGTGGGCAATAGAGGTGCGCGGGGTGAGGTTTAGCTGAATAAAGCAAGTGAGCTGTATGGATGTTTTCTTCTGAGCTACTATACTCCACCTGCCATAGTGTACAAAACTATGTGGTGACTAAGTTTAGCAGGGTACAACAAGTTATATGTGAGTTGCAGGCCAGTCCGAAGTACTCTATCATAGCCTTGGCCTCTGTCATCGTGGGGTACTCGGAGCACTACATATAACTAACTTTAGGCGGTTGGCGGGGACAAGGAAGTACTCGTACCCCGCTAGATAGGGAAAGATGAGGTGAGGTGGTTGGTGGTGTAGATACCCGAAGTGGGGGGCAATACATCAGTCACCATACTGAGTAATACCCAAGAACTGTGCCGACGTTAACATTACCTCCGTATGTTATGTTTGCTGTAACCTAACGTTGACTCTGTACAAAAAACCCTTGCACAGAAATTCTTATATCACATGCAACTCGCTGCAACCGCACCACACCATCCACACCAGCATTGAGGCTCCTCGGAGTTTAAGGCGTGTCTCATCCCTCGAAAACCAATGGGAGCGCTCGCATTTGGAAGATGCACCAAGCCTATCGGATTCGGAACACTCCGAACTGCTATGCGCTTGTCAACTTCCGTCTGTGCTCTGTGCTCTGTGTTCGTTACTCCACATGCATGTGCCAACCTTAAAACCACTGTACTAGTTTCACAAGTACAGTCGCAGCCTCGTCTTGCCATCAACTCTATTTACAAAGGAAGGCGCATCACACGCCGCCACCACAAACACCCCCAGTGACCTTGGGTGTCTGAAAGCTTTCAATACGTCGAGATCATCGGCTGCATCGTTGGCGGTCCGCCTCCCTCAGATCCTTCGGGATGATGTGCTCACTTCCCAGTCTCGCTCCACGAGATGTAGGTTGCCCTGCTACTTGGTATCTACGCGATCTCTTCTTGCTCACCTTTGATCTATAGTCTCACACGCTGTGGTACTCCTCAAACCACCATACCAACGACTTCCCAGGTCAGCACGAGGCCATCACCAATGCCGACCACTTTTCTCCCAACGCAGGCTCCGGCCAGAATTTAGGGCCACACCCATTACGGCGGGGACAACAAGGACTTTCCAGTAGAACGCCATTGGCGCGACTGCGTGCTGATGAGCTCTATATGGAGCGCCGAAAGCAGAACGTACAAAATTATGGTAGCTCATGGATAAAACCGCCGGGAGTTGTGAAAAGCCTCCGCCAGCTCCGCGAGGAGAAGCGCGAACTGGAGGAGCACCAAGAAGCGTTGCGACGCGAACAACTTGCCCAAGAGCTTGCCGAGGCTGAGGCTGCAGACGAACTCCTGCAGGGAGAAGGGGGCGATGGGGAGATGGAAGAAGCACGAGATCTTGACGACGATATTCCTGAAGCCGACATCACCAGGCTAGACCAGGGTGAGTCGGGCAGCGAGGACGATTTGGACGCTGATGAATCTGCTGGAGCCACCATGGCACAACGCATTCCTGATGAAATGTATCGAGATGCGCTGGTACGCGGTAACGAAGGCCATAGCCACGGGTATGGGAGTGAGGGCGGGTTGGCATCTGAAGACGAGGACGGGTCTCAAATGCTTCAAGAGGATGATCTCATCCACGAGCAAGGGCTTGACGACAATGCGGACCTTGATATGGACATGGACATGGACGCTGATTTGGATAGTGGGGTTCCAGAGTCAGCTATGGGCGGCTACGAACACACAGACACCGAAGAGGAACTAACAAGTTCAAGCGACGAAAGTGAGGGCGAGGGAGGCTTGCCTTTTGGGCGGCGGGCGAATGAAGGTCTCCGTGAGAGCAGTGGATTCCAGAGCAGCCCAAGGTCGAGTAACCTTGCTCCTCGCACCCTAGGAAGTGACAGGAGGAACAGTTCATTTCGAGAGATTGAAGACGATGAGTCTCACCACTCAAGTCAGAGTATCAATTAAGTATCAATTAAAGAGTGATAATCGCGGGTTGAATGATATTGATATCGCCCACGGTGGTATGATGGGATATCTGATTAAGAAGATGGTCTCGGAACACCACGCATTTTCAACTCTCTTGGCTGAAATGCTGAAATGCCATGCAGAGCTTGAATTGTGCTTGACTTCATCCCACAACTAGAGTATTTATACACCTTCAAACGCCATGTACCAATCCCGAAATCTAGAACAGCCAGACGTACATAAAGAGGAGCATAACAGCGGCGAAGAAGCCAACCCAAACCCTCCAGCCAACACCCGTCTTCTCTGCCATGAGAAGCATTCTATTCATAGTCCCCCTTAATCTCACTCTGGTATTGTCAAATGAATCGTTCATCTTTTCGGCTAGCGCTGAGGATTCGCGGATCTCGTCGCCAATTGCAATCGTCATCTGAAAGCCAAAGTGTTAGTGTCGCCTTCCGATGTTGGAGCTCCAGGTATACATACATCTTTTAACTGTTTCACCTTTCCCAGAATCCCCTCCACCTGCCCATCGTTTTGGCTTTCCAACTCGTTCAGAGTAGCATCGCTGTACTGTCCCCTAAAGTTTCCCAGGTTATTACCTATTCTTTAGGCTTCACCAAAGAGCCACATCACGCTGTGGAATCGAAGCTTGTGTCGCATATAATTCGTACCTTGAATTGGGTGTTGCTGGCCTATACGATTGCCTCTCACCCCCCAGCGTCCCTGCTCCTCCACTGCCGATGTAACCACCATCGTTCCGTCGTGAAGCGTTTTCATTTTTTACCCGGCCAGCCCCGCCACCATCGTATCCTTCGAAGAGAGCGCTGCGAGGATCTCTCTGGTGTAAAGAGGACGGTCCGAACCTGCAAGTTTGAGTTAATGGGCTTCCATGTGGCACTTGCAATAACCAATGACGTCGCGGAGTGATCAGAGAGGCTCAGGCGCGAACCGACTAGGTTCGCCGTGCTTCTCGCTGCGACAGCGCAGATTGACAAGATCGATCATGATGTAGCTGAAGTAGACGCGCTTAGCTAGACCGGCGACATCTTGGAAATAGCATAAGGATGCATATGATCTATGTTTTAAGCCTGGCTAGCTTGCAGCTCGCAACTTCGATGGCCTTTATCGGGTGATCTGGACGCGTTGTTTCGCCAGACGCAAAACTCTCGGGAGAAGTATACACACACACATACCTCGAGGCCATAACTACGGCAGAGAAGATAAAACTTGGACAGGAGGCTTGTGTTGATTTGCCTGTCTGACAGACAGGCAGTAACTCGCTTCACAACGCTAATCCCCGTCTAGATTGTTGACACTGACCCAGCAAACCTGGGCATGGGCGATAGTCGTTTTATGAAGAGGTATCGATAACCCGGTGGTGAGGAATCAATCTTCAACCATCACCACAAATTGTCGTGTTGAAAGTTAAATAGCCTGGCGATTGGGAAACCGTGTCACGTTTACAATACTTTAGATATATCAGAACTTTAGCACGTGCTACTTTTAGGAAAGCTCGTTGTTGCAACCACATGCATTTCAAGATCAGCACGGAACGGCTGCAAATAAAGGGCAAATCATAAAATCGTATTTGGAAGAACTCTCATTGACACCATAATTTATGGTATGGGCTCTTGGGAATAGAGCTTATGGAGGCAAACATGACGACACGAAAGGGAGTATTCTGGAACAGAAAGAGGAACGTTCATAGGCTCACTGCATCGCCGGCCAGACGCTTCTCATAGATGCATTAATTCTTGATAGCAGATATCCGCCCATGATCTACTCGTCCATCTTATCTTCATCCGCTGGGGCCTCGAAATCCCCATCATCCTCCTCGTCCTCCTCGTCCTCGGGAAGCTCCTGGGCTGCCTTGACGAAGTCGATCTGGCGGCCACGAGTACGTCTGCCACCACTGATGATGTTGCTGGTATCGATCTCCTCCATGTTGTCCTCATCGGCTTCGTCGACTATATGTGTTAGCAGAGTGGTTGGTCAGCGGTTTAAGCGTTTTCAAGATCATACCGACGGGAGCAGCCTATTGTAAATATTAGTTTAGTTTCGATGCATCATAGGGGTCGCAATCCCAAATACTGACCTCATCGACCTCATCGTCACTGGTGTCCTCCTCATCATCGTCTTCGCCCATGCTCACATCTTGGGTTGGGTCGGCAGCCTTGCCCTTTCCCTTGTCGGTTTCAGCTCCATGGCTATCGCCACCCTGGGCTTGAGTAGTTGAACTGTTGATGTCGGACATCCTGAGTGTCGTCGTTGGTACTTGAGGTAATTGACTGGACGATGGAGAGGTTGCGGCGAAGACAATTGGGTCTCAGCCAGAACCGTGTTTATGTGGAGTTCAGTCGCGAGCTTTGACGCGTGGGCGAGTTACGTGGGGCAATATCATGTGACACAGCCTAGATCTTTCGGATTTGGGGAACCTGGTTAGGTATACGACACCGCTCCAGACAGGCCATGATCGCATCACAGCTCATCTCGGTATCTTTTGATAAGGAACACCCTCGAATACGCGCTTCTATCGCATTTTCGTTTCCGGCTGCTTCGATTACTTTATTCTACCCTAATTGTTACTCAACATGATTTATACTTAGAAGATTAAACTACAATAGTTTACAGTGGCACCTCTGTCGTTCCTCAGTGTTCGCCCACCACCGCCATCGCTGAATTCGAACTGGAAATGATCCTAGAACTGCTCGAAGGTTTCCGATTGTGACTGCAAACGCAGCTTGGATCGGAGCAAGAGCGATATTCGACCTGATCCATTCTGGTTTCAAATCAACACAGATCTAATGGGATGAACCAAGCCTCTATATCTCCTGACAGTCTTTCACAGACAACTCAATAAACGATGGAAACCTCCTCATCCCAGCCGATACTGGCACAGATCCTCCATCCTGGCTCACCTACAGAGCATGTCACTGCTTTAAGGACCTTAAAGAATGATATTATTGGCCACCAACAGAGGAAGGAGGCTTGGGTAGGCCTCGGAATTTTGGATTCAATAGTGCAAGCCTCGGCTTCCACAGAAAGCAGACAGGACAGCAAGTTGGGTCAGGAACCAGCGCGGGATACCGAATCATTGAGCGAAGAGGAGACTCTGAGACTACAGGCTCTTTCCATCCTTGGGAGCTTGGCATATGGTAAACAACCTTCAAGCCAAACCAAATTATGTTACACTACTAAAGCATATCAGGTGGACCACCATTCATAGAACCATTGCACTGTGCATCCGCTCTGCCTGCCATACTGTCGAACCTTTGTCCGTCTACAAACCCGCCGCAATTGGTTGCGACGGCGCTGCAGGCTCTGTCTAACTTGACAGAGTCAACTTGCTTATCACTGGCATCAAGTTCCTTCAGCATTACCTCGCTTGCCGATGCTGTTTTATCTACCCCTCATGTTGGCTCTATGTACAAAATCTTCAGCCAATCGTCGACATTACCTCATACACGCAGCCAAGTATGTCTTGCGGCATCTTTGATAAGTAAACTTTGTCAAAACGAACGCCATCAGTCAATCCTTGTTAATGCTGGGGTATTAGATGCTCTTGCCACTAGACTGGCTGGAATTATAGCCCTTCAGGGACTGGTTATTCCCGGGGCTGATGCGACGGTAGAGAAAGAGGGCCTCTTAAACAAGTTCCCCTACGCAGAAGGTTCTGAGGGTGCCGACCTTGCGATCATTCTGGAATGCATCGGTATTATTGTAGCTGATTCGAAGCTACTAGCTTGCCAGCTTATTTATTCCAGTGCTATACTTGCTGTGTTCCCCCTTTTCCCAATAACTGATTTTGCTCCAAACCGATCAACCAAAGCAGCATGGGCTGCCTTCAATGCCTCTGACCCATCAGGCAGACAGTTACAAATGAATGCCGTCGATTATCTGATCCCCAACGTTTCTACGAGCTACACAAACAGTGTTTCTGGCATCGGTTCTGCATTTCCTCCCTTGGGAACACAAGGGCCGTCTGATTCCATCATGCAAGACAGCGGTTCCAAGACAGCCGCGTGGCCTCACCGCAACCCCGCGAGCACCGAACTACCACCTGGTAGTAGCGGGGTAGGCGACGCCGAAGAGCCTGAAAGCCCATTGGTACCATATTTGATATGGCTTATGAGGTCTAGCACTGACATTGGTCGGCTAATGGCAGCATACCTCCTGGCAGGGCTATACAGGGCAGGGGTTACAGCCAAATCCAGAGAGATATCAATCGGACTGTTGGTCATCCCGATATTGGTTGGTTTACTTGAACGCACAGCGGAACACTCCACAACCAACGATGCACGACAGACTGCCAAACTGTGGCTGCTCATGGAACGCACGCCTGCAGTAATTGCGAAGCTGATTATCGACAGCGAATACCTACAAAAATCAGCGTATGACGCTGGAATTATTACCAAGCTTGCAAGGATGATGAAATCTTCATATGACCGGGTGCCAACCAACCATGAAGCCCGTACATGGTCATCAGGCGGCTCTTCTTCTGAGGTCGATAAGGATAGTGTGCATACGTCAAGGTCATCAAAACTTGGAGACAGTGGGTTTTCCGCCCTTCTTGTTCACAAGATCAGGGTCCGCGAAAGCGTGCTGAGAGCAATTGCGGCTCTTGTTCCCTTCAAGGATGAATACCGAAAATCCATTGTGGATCAAGGCACCATGCCATTTATCGTCGAGTCACTAAAACCACACCGTGAGAAACCGTCACACAAAGTAGAAACAACCCCGAAAACAAGCGCAGGCGAAGCATCTAGCCTTAACTCTGGGTTTGGGATAAACCCAACTTCTGTCCTCATCGCGGCTTGTGGCGCTGTTCGCCATCTGTCGCGCTCAGTTAGCATATTGAGGACGACCCTAGTGGATAATGGGGTCGTCATGCCGATTTTTAATCTTCTGAGCCATTCGGATATCGAAGTTCAGATAGCGGCAACTGCGACGGTGTGTAATATTGTCACTGAGTTCAGTCCGATGCGTGAAGTATGATATACGGGAAAGCCTCACATTGACTTTGCTGACAAGCTTCTAGACAATTTCGGCCGCCGGCGTTTTGAAAATCCTTTGCCAGCACGCGCACTCGGCCAACGTAAATCTTCGTCTTAATGCGCTTTGGGCGTTGAAGCATTTGGTGCAGTCCGCTGGAAATGATATCAAAATGGCGTGTGTCGAAGAACTTGGACAGGGTTGGCTCGTACAACTCATCTGTGAAGATACAGAGGATGATGCCGCTTATACGTTGTCCACGACGAGATCGACAGCTGTGGACCAGGACAATGATGTCCATATGAACTACTCATACGACGAAGACTATAAGCAAAAAATGGCAGATACTGCAACCGGTGTGAGCTCCGCAAACAAAAGCCCAGGCTTTAGCCAAAAGTTCCCAGAGTCCGAAAGGGCCAGATCAATTTCAGGTTCGACGAGTCAACTTGTGAATTCCCGTTTTGCAGCTCTTCAACAAGGAGAGCTTAGCCCGGGAAAAAAGGCACGCGAAAACGATACCGCAGTGCAAGAGCAAGGTCTTGACCTGATTCGAAACCTCATTGGCGCCTACAATAGTACTGGACCGGCTGAGAACTCCGATATGATTGACTTCCTCTTCCATTCGTTTGGCCAGGACCAAATATTTGAAATTTTGGCATCTAAGTTGAGGCCGAAAGTTATAAATCCATTCAGCAAACGTGGTTTAGATAACGGAACTGGCAATGGCGAGACAAGAATTGTGCCTCCTCAGCCAGAAATTATCACGTCTGTCGAATACATACTAGCTAACGTAGCTGCAAGTGTTCCTCGGCACCGACAGCAGGTTGTGGCCCAGACAGAACTGCTAAAGCTTGTATTGGAACAATCCAGCCATCCAGACAAGGAGGTTCGGCTGGCTCTTTGCTGGCTTGTCATCAACCTGACGTGGGTTGAAGATGACCAAGACACTGTGACTCGCACTCAACGGGTCCGAGAGTTGACAAAGTTGGGGTTTCTTGCGAAAATGGAAGTTCTTGAGCGAGACTGCGATTTAGATGTTCGCGACAGAGCAAAGACCGCCCTTTGGCAAATGAAGCAGACTGTTCCAGCTTCATCACGATAAGCCCATAAACAGCAGCGCCTCAGCTTAGTTTGTATATGTTCCGGCCCAACCGTGAACTGAGCTGGTTCATGAACTGGCCGGCACAACCAGAAGTAGGAGTAATCAATTGATCTATATAGCTACGTTTCCTGCTGTAACGTAGATCGTGGTCCGGCTACATGGCCAGACCGGCTATTTCAATTTTACAGGTAAATTCACAAGCAAATTCACATCACGTGATATATAATTCAAACTTGTAATAATTACTTTAATTAACTTGCTAGAGCTTACTGTTATTAAACTTAGATAATTTATATACTTAACGTAGGTCGTGGCGTAGATGCAGCAATGGCGTAGATGCAGTAATGTACCTTTATATACAAATTCATATGCAAAGGTACTTCACACTTGCAAAACTAAAAACCTAAATATCTCCATTAATAAAAATTATAGGGCTTAACTATTCAATGTTTAGGTTTTATATATGTACCTTTATTTAACATAAAGATGCTAGTGTTTCTAGCATCTTTTTACATGATTAATTTAACGTAACTCGTGGCGTAACGGGACGGATGGCGTAACGGGACGCTTTGCCAGAGCCACCCGCACCCCACCAAAACCAAGGTCACATGACCAAAATTAAAACGTTAATAACTTTTGTAATAATGCTTATGACGCTTAATCCTCTTAGACTATTACTCTTTATATCATACTCTAACATGTGTAATAACGCTAGTAGTACTAGTTTTGTTTTACAAAAGATATTAAAGCTTATATTTTACTATATAAAATATTTATATGGTAAAAATTAAACTATAAATAACTACTTAATAAGAAGAGCTTACACTCTAGCAAATTCGGCTATAAGAAATAAGACTATAAAGAGTAATAGTCTAAGAGGATTAAGTGTTATAAGCATTAACGTGGTTTACCACCAAACGGAACATCCCACCAAATGAAACACTTTCCGATAGCATCGCAACCTCAAACCCAATTACTCCACCCTAACACATTAAAATTAACTACACTCAATTGAATTCTCTTCTCCTAATATCTCTTCAACCTCTTGACAGGTTCGTACATTATGCCCAGTCTTGCCGCACCTCCCACAGCGCCGCGAAGTCGATGGACCAGCCTCTACAGCACCCTCCTCATTTGACCTTTTCTGTCGTTTCAACCCTTTAACCTCTTTTTCAGCGATCAGTTTTTGAGCATCTTCTATAGTAAGTGACCCTCCATCTTGGACACGTCTTGGCTTTCCGACGCTTTGAAAGTGCTGTGTTGGCCTTTCGAAGGGTACGGACCTCCTCTTGTATAAGGGTCATTTGGTGCGCAATGCGGTCTGTACCCTTCACCAGCTGCTTTACAGCTGAAAAAATCGTTGTTGGGGAGCTTCCTTGATGAATTCCAATTCTATTCTGTACAAACTTAGACTGCAAAATTGCATCAGCTGGGGTTTGTGGCGTTTGAGGGACCCAAGGGTCAGCCTCTAGTAGGGGGGATCCAGTTGGTGTTGGCGTCCGTAACTTGATATCAAGCTTTGAGAGAACTGCTTCTGGGTTGTACGGGACTAGGCCAGTACCTCGAAAGCCAGCTAGGATATTTTCAGTTGTCATTGTATGGTCGTGGGCAGCCTTGAATGCAATAAAGAACTCAATCTTAGTGATATGGGTAATAGAGGCCTTAATGAAGACCTCAAGTTCTCGACCATACATTCGCTTTAGTACACTAAAACACCCAACATCAAGAGGCTGGGTAAGATGTGAGGAGTGCGCAGGGAGACAGAGCGTAATAATGTTGTTCTCCTTGCAGTACATATCAAACTGGGCAGATAGGTGGCTCTCATGGCCATCTAGGACAATCATCCGCCAGACCCCTTGTGTTCGTACACGTGTATGCTGATTAAAGTGTTTTATCCAGTCTAGACCTGTATCATTGTCGGTCCAGCCATTTGGTGAGGTCTTGATGGCCCAAGTAGGTGGAAGGCCGCACTCTGTGTACCAAGGCGCAAGGTGATGCTTGCCTTGTACAATCAAGTATGCAGGCACTACAAAGCCGTCTGCACTCACACATTCAATCGCTGTTGCCCATTCCCGATTACCAGACTGAAGCTGCTTTGCTCGGCCTTTTCGATCTGAGCTCGTAACAACCATATTCCCACAGATAACACCCATCATAAAGCCCGTCTCATCAAAGTTGTAGAAGTCAGCATTCCGGATGCTGTACTTCGCCTGCATGTTCTTTACCAGCTCAAACCACTTTCTTATACAATCAGGATCTTCGCAGAGGGCTCGCTGGAGGTCGTACGCACGAGAGAGACGCGTCTTAAGCTTTGGTTCATTGTGTACAAAGCGGTAGGGCCAGTTTTTTCCAACTGGGGGTTCGCGACGCGTCGCACGGAGGAGATTCGCTATATCTCGTACATCCTCAATTCGAGGTGGAAATCCTCGCGAATCTAGGTCAAGTACGTATCGTATGAGCTCCTCTTCCTCAATTGGGGTCAATGGACGTTGTTTGTCGCGTCTACCAGCTCGTGGTTGGCTTCCGTGTATGCGACGGGTAAGTGTTACATGTGGGACCTCATATAGCTGCGCAGCACGTCGGATGGACAGTTTGTGGGGTGATTTGGTAGCTTGGATGGCTAGTAAAACTCGGCCTTCATTAGCTTTCTGAGGCATCTTTTTGTTGTGGTGTGGTGGAGTAATTGGGTTTGAGGTTGCGATGCTATCGGAAAGTGTTTCATTTGGTGGGATGTTCCGTTTGGTGGTAAACCACGTTATTACAAAAGTTATTAACATTTTAATTTTGGTCATGTGACCTTGGTTTTGGTGGGGTGCGGGTGGCTCTGGCAAAGCGTCCCGTTACGCCATCCGTCCCGTTACGCCACGAGTTACGTTATCATTTAAGGTTTCCTTATACAAATATTTATACAGGATATTTTATTATATTAATAGAATAATAACCATGGAACTAGCACTGCTAGACTTTTTATATATTATAATCTCAGTCGCGAGGTATGCCGCGCGGGGTTTGGCGCCCGCCCGATCGGGGAACGCGCGTGCACGGGCCTGCCGCCGCTTTCAACTTCTATAAAAGGGCCACTCCCTCCCCCCGACTCTGTCCCTCTCCACCGTCGCTCCTTCCTCCCAACATTCTCGCACCTGCTGCGCTCATCGTGCGACGGTTGCCCCCCTCCGGCCCCTCCATACTGCATGGCCCCGCCCAACGGATCCCCCTGCTCGGCCTCGCCGCAGCTGAAAACCCGCACTGGCACATGATCGCTTTGCAGAGCCACAATGGAGACCTCGGTTTACGCCCTCCGATGATTGTGCCTTCCATGCCACCGAGTTCTTTGCGATGGCAACGAGCCCTTTGAGCATCTCTAGTCGTCTGGTCGTCAGATCGGTCAAGATGCGAGAACGAGCTGAGCTGCGTTCCGCTCGACCTGCCTCTCTTGCGCCCTTCCTCGTCGCCGCGCACATCTGAACTGTCTTGCGACTGTGGCATGCACAATCTGCCTCGAGAGTGCCTTGCGCGACGACCTACCCAATCGCAAAAATGCCTCGCAGTGACGTGGCCGGCCCTTGCGTAGACCACCCCGCGGCACATTTTGCGACGTTGCGAGTTGCAGGCACTGGCAGCGACCTCTGCCTCAGTCTAGGCTGGTTTTCGAGATAAGGGCCGATTCGAGATCGAAGTGGAGATCCCTCTCAAAGGCCGTCGCGGCCGCGACCATCCCTGTGTTGCATTTTGTTGCCTTTCACCTTCGTTTCGTGGCGTTCATTCAGGAATATTACCAGGATTGCGGATAAATGGATACGGAGAGCGGACAATCATTGGAGTCAGGCAGTCAGAGTCGTCTGACCTCAGATGCCGCTCTATCCGGCCTTTACATGGTTGATTGGGGCTTGCAAAGCGATCGCCTTCAAAACATGCACAATCCGGACATGATTCCTCCTTCTGGCAGCAGAGGGGCCGACCGCAGCGCTAAACGCTCAGCTGAGAGTGAGACCGCACTCTTGAGACCACGCAAGTTGCAGCAGTGCAGTCACCAGAGACCCTCGGAATACGACGTGTCTTGTCCCTCTTTGTCGCAAATGTCTAGCTGGTGGAATCGGGTCAAGCCTGGGGCGGAAAGTTCACTGCCTGGCTGTAGAGCACGGGAAATGACGAGGTGACACGGAACGTGAAGACCAGGGAAGCAAAGGGGCTCGCAGATTCCAGCGGGTCACACAGCAACAGTGCAGAGCGACCGTCCGAATCTCTATATAGCTCCTTCATTTCCGCTCGAGAGACGTTATAAAGACCATTATCCCACTCAGCGTCCTACTCTGTTCAGCATGGCTACCGTGAATATGAACTGTGTTGAATTCTATAAACCCAATCCTGCATTGAAGGCCTCACATACTCAGCTGACGAGGTCGGTGTTGAACAAGCACCTACCGTCTCTACAACCCAGCATATCACCACCTGGAGACGCAGAGTCAGCACGGAATGTTCAAGATGGCGACTCGTTAGATGACTCTCTTCCATCTCTTGATGAGTTGTTCCAGGCCCACCGAAACGGAGATATGCCTCAGATGCCACATCAGAACCACAAGCCCCTCCATATCTCGAAGAGCCAACTGATCGATGAGAGCCGCCAGCTTATTGATGCCACAACCCCGAACTCGGTCTATGTGCCAGGCAATAATCAAAGTAAGTTTCTCATCTCGATTTTGTATGCCTATACACGTTACTAATTCCACGCAGGAGAACCCCTAATCATCGAAGATGACAGCGACGATGAAAGCGACGACGAAGCTGAGTTTGGGGTTGCCTCGAGCGATCTCCTTGCCAGCATCGATAATCAAGACGCGAGCGAGTGTGGGCTGGCCACTCAAGATACTGCTTCGACCACCAGCAGCCTATTTGGCCCGTCCACTCCTCAAGACTCGGATTACCTCAGTGCTGATTGTTTCTCCAAGGATGGACAACAGCGCCCGTCTTTCGCAGAGCCGATCTCGACATTCGATGTCCAACTTCGATGACCTTCTCCAAATTGCTCTGAGCCGGCTGAGACAACGGGTCAGGATCAAATTCACTAGGGTGTTGAGAAGGCCATAGTCGACGAAATGAGGCTTTCTCATTATAGCCCTTTGCACGAGAGGGCTGGTGGGTCGTGCGACCGTGGCAGCGTCTGCAATATCGAGGATGAACCACGACAAACTTCAGAAGAAGCAGAAGGATCGCCGCCTTCCAGCGCACCTCACTCGCAATGCAATCTAATGAACCAGGAAAGTCAAAGTAATAC